GTGGGCCCCCCCGCCCCGCAAGCGCGCCCGCCGCCGGCGCGTGCAGGCTGGAACAGGTAAAGGCGGGGGCGGCCCCGCCAGCTCCCCCGGGCTCGCGCCGCTCCGGGACCCTGCGCTCGGGAGGGAGCAGACGCCCGGCTTGTTTACAGCAATGACTTTAGCTGCAGACTGCTGGCAGCTGTGTGCGCACCCATCCCCCACCCGGGGGTGTACCCTGCCCCCCATGCGGCCGCCGTTGCTTGTGCCAGGAACAGGGGGCGCTCCTGGCACGCACTGGGCGGACCAGGTCGCGGCCGCCCGCGGAGAGCCTCCGGGGGCGCTCCTGCGCCCTTGCTCTGCCGCAGCATCTACAGCCCGGGGGAAGGTTGGTGCTCCAGAACGCTTGGGTGCGAGATGGAGAAGGGGCTCTGAGCCCCCCGAGAGTCCGGGGCGCCGGGCTGCAGCCCGAGTAGCAGGCTGCAGGTCTTCCTCGTCTGCGCCTGACGCGGGACTCTTAGGCGCCCTCCTCCTGCCGCCCTGCAAAGGTTGAGAACGAGGGCGAGACGCGACCCCGGGAAGCGTCCGAGAGCCGGCTGCTCCGCAGCCCGGTGAGCGCTAGATACGAGTGCAAAAAAAAAAAAAAAAGATCAGGTAAAACAAGGAAATGAAAATACTCGAAAAAATCCTTTTAAGGAAAACATACTGAGAAGAGTCACTGCCTCCTGGTGGGAGGGAGAGTAGTGCCCACGCTCTGTTGCGACCCCTGAGACTTGAGCTCTCGGGAACTGCCCCGGGAATCGTCCCTCGGCAGGCTGAGGCCAATGAAGGCGGCGCAACCGGGTTCGGGCCGCCGGTGGAGAAGGGCACGGGGAACGCGATTCTTCCCGCCGCTTCCCCCTGCCCGCCCCCACTCTCCTCTGCAGTCCTGCACCCTCTGCCCGCCCAACGGTGACCCGCGCCCTCACCCTTGCCCCTCCTGCCCACTCCAAGCGCACCTCTGTCCCCAGACCAGGGCTTTCGGACAACCGCGGTTGGGGATGAGTGGGGAGATGGAACACCTCTCGAGGGTGTCGAGGAAGCAAAAGGCAAGATGGATTGAGGAAATGCGCCCTAACCCGCACCCTAGTTGGGAAAGGGAAGGGGCCTGGGTGCGCAGAGGCCGCCTGGCTCAGGCTTTACTTTTCATGAGCAGATCTATAACGTCAGCGTGACACAGCAGAGCCCAGGTTAAACGACCGCTCATTTTCGGGCCAGTCCTGAGCGAGGCGAAGAAGGCCACGGCTTCTCGGGGAGACTGGAGGGCAAGCGCCGGGCCCGGTCCAAAGATTTCGCTGCCTACAGAAAGGGAGCGGGTGTGATGGCGGTGAAGCGGACGGGGAGATTGAAGGTCCACCTTGACCGCGGACCTCTCGCGACTGTCGGTGGCGGCCGCGGGCGAACTCTGCGCCTCCCCCGCTCCGCGTCGCACCTGGGGCAAAGGAACACAATGTGCTGCGCCCGCTGGGATCCCCAATCCCGCCCGCGCCCGGGTTCTCGGTGGCGCTCACTGCGGGGGAGGGCGACGCAGACATCAGAAAACTGCGCGGAAGCAAGCCCTGGTGCTTGTGCTTGGTTCCCGTGCAGTCCGCCGCCCTCGCGCAGCCCGCTTTCGCGACTCAGTGAACGCGTTAAAAAGCAAAGGTATTAGGGAAAGCAGTGGGCTGAGCGCCCATATTTGGGGCGCAAGAAAACCGGCCAGGAGGCGGCAGCTCGTGCGTCCCCCGCGATTCGGGCTGTGCTAGAGAGCTTCAGGCGGGCGCCTCACGGCCAGAGCACAGGGGACGCCAGGGGAAGGGCCCATGGGCGTTAGGTCACCGCTCGGGTCCCGCACGTGTGCCTTGCAGATGCGGGCAGTGTCTGCTCCTGCTGCCGCCACGAGACGTAGGGGAGGAGTGGGCAGGAGGGAAGATGGCTGGGGCTGAGAGAGAAGAGCAAGAATGAAGTCGGGTAACAGAGACCCGAGAAACGGGAAACCCACGGCCCTCGCCCCGGACCGTAGAGTCTCTCTCCCAGCTCCGAAAAAAACTTTATTTCAGTGCATTTGCCCGCCTCCTGGTCTCTGCAAGCAGCGGCAGAGCCTTCCCATCGCTTTCTTGCTTTATTAAACTTTATGTTCTTCCGAAGGATAGATTACAAACTTTACGTGGTAAATACGTGTTCCTCGAGTTGTCTCACCGTCAGGAAGCCGCCTGCCTGGGAAGACAAGCCCGAGTTCGTGCTTTGCCAGAAGCAAAACTCCAGTCTTCTCCTCTCCTTGCGCCGCCCGTGCGTTTCCTCGCGGAGCCCAAGAGGGCCTGACTCACTGGAAAAGCATCACTTGCTGAACTGAACCTAGGAACTCGGAATGGGTGGAGCTTTTGCCTGGGGGTGTTTTGATTTTTATGTTTGGCCTTTTTTTTTTTCACCCAGCACCATCAGTTTTTTCTCGAAATCACTAGGAATCTGAGTCACTGCTGACAGGAGACTTTTGGCGGCAACCGGCCTTGAGGCGCGCTCTCGCCGACAGCCAGTCGGACCGTCTAGGGGCACCGGACGCCGGCGCTGGGCGAGGTCGCGGCCCGGCTAGGCAGAGCTACATGGGGGAGGATAAAGCGCCGCGCTCCCCGGGCGGTCCCCTAACTCCCAACAGCCCGCCGCGCGCCTCGCTAGCCTCAGCTGGACCTCGGCTCCCCGTAGCAAAACCCCCGAGCGCCGCGGCGGAGCGCGCGCCAGACGGGGCTCGGGCCCAGCTCCCCGCGTCAGCGAAGCGAGCGTCGTGGCAGCTGTGGACGGGCCATCACGCTTCCCTCCTCGCGCGTTACAACTTGGCTGCCGGCTCGCGCCGCTGGGAGCGCGCCCCTTCCCCGGGCAGGGGCTGCGGGGGCGCATGGTAGAATGCTAAAGGCGGAGATCACCCTCAGGGCATCGTCCTTCACCGAGTCGCACAAATCCAGCCACTGCAAAACACGACACGGGGACAGGTCAGACGCTGGCTAATTCACAGCTCT